GGGGGGGGGTCTCAGTTGGCCAACTTCAGAGAGCTTAACAAGAGCAGCTCTCTCTCACGCCCTGGGTCAGAGAGGAGGGTCAGCAGGCTTGGAGGTGCCGAGGAGGCGTCAAAGGGGGTTGCTGCTCTGCCCCAACCCCCCCCCCCCAAGGCCTGTGCCCAGACTCGCGCTTGGGGCCAACGTTTTTCCTCCGCCTTAGGGGAGCCTCGCTTCTGGGCACCAGTTTGGCATAGTGGTTAAGTGCGCAGAGGACTGTAATCTGGGAGAACCGGATTTGATTCCCCCACTCATCCACTTGCCCACCTGGCTGGATGACCTTGGACAAGACGTTGTTCTGACGAGAGCTGTCCTTGAAAAAGAGCAGTTTCTCTCAGCTCTCTCAGCCCCACCTGCCTCACAGGGTGCCTGTTGTGGGAAGGGGAAGGAGATGGTCAGCCGTTCTGAGACTCCCTTGGGGGTAGTGAAGGGCCATGGGGCATAGATCCAGTCTCTTCTTCTTCTGCTGCTCCCTCCTGAATCTGCTCTCTCCCCCTAGCTGAACACTGCCAAGCGGAAACTGGAGGCTGGCGGGCAGGAGGCAGCGGAGGGCGTCAGCCGCAGCTGGTTCCAGACCAAGGAGGAGAGGAAGAAGGAGAAGCGTAAGACCCCTTCTGGCGGGGGGTGGGGGGGGCGTTCCTGAGGCTTCCCCGCCCCTCACCCCCTCCTTGCTTCTCCCCCGCAGTGTCCAAGGCCCTGGAGGAGTTTGACCTGGCCTTGCGTGGCAAGAGGAAGAGGGAGAAGTTCATGAAGGAGAGGCACAAGAAGGCCCAGATGACGGTGAGCCACGGACGGTGGAGGGGCGGTGGCAGGGGGGAGAGCACCAGTTTCCCCAGGAGAGGTTGGCAGGCCATGCTTAGCCAGGTGCTGTTTCCTTCCCAGCCTGAGGAACGGTCCCAGTTTGAGATCTTGAAGGCCCAGATGTATGCTGAACGCCTGGCAAAGAGGAGCCGCCGACCCGCCCGAGCCCGGGCCATGCCGGAAGATGCTCCGCCGGCAGGTGGGAAATTTGGGGGGCGGCGGCAGCAGCAGCAGCATTCAGCCCGTGGGGGGGACGGGGGACCCTGTTCTCTGCTGGGGGTGCCGGGGCTTAGCCCAGCCTCTGCCTGACTCCTCCGTTTCCCGCAGGCCGGGGAAAGCCGAAGAAGAAAGTGTCTGTGTTCGATGAGGAGCTCACCAATACCAGCAAGAAGGCCCTGAAGCAGTATCGGGCCGGGTGAATATAGAGCGAGGGGAGGGGGAGGGGGCTGCCCACCTCTCGTGTCCTGGTGCCCTGTTGTCCGTGGGCCCCGGATCCTGCCAAGAGGAAGGCTTGTCTGACGGGGTGGGGGCATGATGCAGAGCCTGCTGTGCCTTCTCCCCGTGGGCTCCCCTCCTGCGTCACCCTTCCTTGGAGGCTCTCTGCAGAGGGAGACACTGACCGCTGCCTTGCCTCTAGGCCCTCCTTTGAAGACCGCAAGCGCTTGGGCCTCGCCTCGAGGAGGAAAGGGGGCAACTTCAAATCCAAGGCCAGGTGAGGCTCTTGCTTTCCACTGGCCTCCCCCCCCCATTCCCCCTCACACGCCTGACGTGCTGCGCCCTCGTGTCTTTGTGTGCAGGTACAGGCGGAAGTGAGAAGAGGAACTCCCCCCCGGCTTGCCCGTGCCGCCCTCTGCAAGGTAGTGGGAGGCAGCAGCTGCAGCCAGGGACGAAGAGGCTGACTCCCCCCGGCTTCCCTCCTTGCAGGGCCTGCTCAGCCGGACTCTGCGCACTCTGCCCTCTTGGTGGAGCTCTTCTTCATGAGCACCTTTTTAGTAAAAATGTCTTCTAATTCTGTCTCAGACGTGATGTGTTGTCCACGTGGGCAGCTAAGGGGGTCGGGGCACCTTCCCTGGGATACACAAATGTGTGCCTGCCTGCGCCCGTGCCAAATCGGAAATGCACAGTCAAGAGTCCAACAAGGTAGATGAATATCTGTTTAATGCATTGAGACAGGGAATACAGGGGGCTTGAGTGCCTTTGCACCTCAGCCATTCCGAGGCTGCCTCCTGCCATAACCAGGAAGGGGGCAGAAGGTCTTATACCCCAAATGACATCACACATTATTCACACATTAAAGAATCTCTAATTGGTACCAAGCATCCTAATTCCTTCTACAGAGGCTTCTTATACACAGAGATGCAAATAGAAAATATATGTTCTGCTATAAGTTTCTCTAATCAAAAGATTCTAGGTTACATACCAGAATCTGGATCTATTATGATTAAACGTTTGAAGGCACAGTGACAGCTGTCAATATACATCAAGGAGAGACTGTCAGAAATCACATTATTTTCCCCTTGTCCTACACCTGTGGAGAAAGGCTGAAGCGTCTGGTACCTTTCCGTTTAGAAAAGAGATTACTTTGGGGGGGGGGGTTTATAGAGGTTTACAATATCACTAGGAGTAAGGCCCGTTGTGGGAAGACATACAACGAGCTCTAGAAAGAGGCTTCAGGTAAGTGTCCCAGCTGTGCCTGGTGGGGTGGTGGAGGGAAGGGGAAAATAGAGGGAGGTGAGCCATGTTTAATTTCCTTCTGCTTAGCTATAAGGCAGGGGTGTCTCAAGTCATTTTGCTGCCCCAAGTGGGTAGTATGGGAGAACAGCCTCATGGTAACAGGCATGGTTCCCTCCACCATGCAGTGACAGCTAAGGTAGAAAAGCACCTCCTCCTGTGCCATGTCTTCTGGGTTCCAAGGGTCTGGAAAGCGGTTCCATAGCCAGTTACAGGGTTGCCAACTCTGGGTTGGGAAATACCTGTAGATTTGAGGGGGTAGAGCCTGGGGAGGGCAGGGTTTGGGGTGCGGAGGGACCTCAGTGCAGGGTGTAATGCCCCATAACTTCCACTGCCCAAAGCAGCCCTTGTCTCCAGGAGAACAGGTCTTGGCCCTCTGGAGATCAGTTGTAATAGCTGGAGATCTCCAGGTGCCGCCTGGAGGTTGGCAATACTTAGTGGACTTCGGTGAGGTACGCTCTGCCATAGAGCTCGCCCTCCAGAGCGGCCATTTTCTCCATGGGGACTGATCTCAGTAGTCTGGAGCTCAATTGCCGTTCAGGGAGATGTCCTTCCCTTTTCCCCCAATCCCCATTTAACAGTTTAACTAACCCTTCTAATGCCCCAAGCCCTCTTGGGACCTCTCAACTTGGAAGTTGTAGTTCTAAATCCCCTTGCTATGGTTGCAGTAAGGCCAGCTGAGAACTACAACTCCCAAGGTGCAATGCGTCAAAAGTGGGAGTGTAAGAATGGAGGAGCCAGTGGGATGAGCCAATAGGAAGTCAAGGCACCTTCCCCAGGGGCCAATAGGAGTACAGGTGAGTCATCGCCAGCCTTTTATATTTTATAGAAGATGCCCAGAGTGGAAAGAATTGACAGAAATGTTTCTCCCTCCCAAAATGCTAGAACTCAAGGATATCCAATGAAGCTGATGGGCAGTAGGTTCAGGATGGACAAAAGGAAATCTTTACTCAGGGATCCAAATGTGGAATTTCCTGTCAGAGGGGTGTAAAGGTAAAGGTTTCCCTTGCTCGAAAGCCAGTTTTCCAAGCCGAAGAGCCAGCACTGTCCGAAGACGTTTCAGTGGTCATGTGGCCGGTGTGACTAGACGCTGAGGCTCACAGAACGGTTACCTTCCCACCCAAGTGGTACCTATTTGCCTACTTGCAATTTCTTGCTTTCAGACTGCTAGGTTGGCAGGAGCTGGGACCAGAGACGGGAGCTCACTCTGTCATGCAGCACTCAGGTCTCGAACTGCCGAACTACCAACCTTCCGGCCTGCAGTTCAGCGTCTTAACCACTTGAGCAACCGCAGAGAGGTGTAGTGATGGCCAAAGCCATAGGTGGCTTTAAAGGCGGTTAGACAGATTCACGGAGGAGAGGTCTACCGAGGGCTACTAGCCGTGATGACTAAAGGGAGACCCAGAAAGGCCTACGAAGGGGCAAGGATTTCTATGCAAATACTAGGAGAGGGAGAACTAAAGGAGAATGCAGTGGGCCTACACGGGGGGGGGGATCCAGCTGCCTCTGGACTTAAGCCAGGGCCCCCCAACCCGAGCCTTTCTGAGCCTGCGGGTACCTTTGGACTTCTGACCCCGGGGGGCTCCCACAAAGTGGCTGCCACAGGAGGCCAAGTCACAAGACGCCAGGGAATGGATTGTGCATTGCTCTTAATAGCAACACTCCCATTTCAGGCAGGAGTCCTGCTTGGCTTCATTTAAAGATACCATTGGGCACAGGTGCAGCTCACCTTTCAGCCACACACACGCGGAAGACCCTTGGGCAGTGGGGGTGTAGTTGGTGCTGAAAGCAATGCCTCAGCCCATCAGAGCTGTGCCCGGTCAGAAGCCCTGGTGGACACCAGCCCCACACTCTCTCTGAAAACACGTGGTGGGCACCTGTCAGAGCCCACAGCCAACAACGAAGTGCACGCATTCAGGAACGGTAATACTTTTATTGCAGAGCTATAGATGCAGTAACATAGGCACTGTTAAGAATGGCGGCGGCCCCATGGGCATAATAGGATATAGGGTATTCCTATGCAACCCCCCCCCCCCAGCACTGGCCAATTAGGCACCCTCCCGCGTGCGGGTTAAGGCTCAGAGACCGTTAGGTAGCTGAAGCTGAGAACGAACACTCTCCCACGGCACCTAGGGAAGTCCCAGACACTACAACACCCTCCTGCACATCTGTATAGATAAGCGTTTCGGCGCACAGCAGAGAAATCACAGAAAGGAATGCAGTAGCAATTAACCTGAAAGGAAAGCAATAGCAATTACCCAGACACAGACCAACCTCCCCAACCTTCATGGCAGCATAGCTGACAGCACCCTGGCACCCACAAGCACTGAGTTGGGGACCCTCGGTCTATCTATTTATTTGTTGTATGGCAGAGTATTTATTTGTTGTATGCCTGGCGTGATCTGGTCCATGGGGTCGCGAAGAGTCAGACTCGACTGTGCGACTGAACAACAACAAAGAGTACATAGCCAAGTTGATATGCAGACTAATTGGGCAGTCCTGTGCCAGATGGAAAATAGTTTGACGGGCTGCAACACAATTGCATTTGGTCCTGGTATTTTGCCCTGCCTGTTTGTATTCTGTTAGCCATCTTCCATATTTTATGTGGTTAGTCAAATCCTGCGAGCCTCTTGCTGGTGCTTATCGGGTTATGGATATCGGGTGGAACTGACTGCATCCATGTTTGCAACCATCCATTCCCTAGATCAAGATTTTGTGACCACAGATCTTGTTGCTGGGTGTTGTGATCTTAGTCTGGATAGGTCTTGCGTCAGCCATGTCTTTGTGGATGGGCCACTCTCTGTTTTCAATTATCTTTCTCTATTCACAAAGAAGAGCATTTTGCCTTCGGAGATGCGAGGCAGCAATGCGGCACCATGTGGGTAGTCAGGAGGTCGGAAGTGGGTTTAACACACCTGCTCATGGGTTCTCATTGTTGTACTGAGTTGGACATGGGGGGCTGCTGATCCCCACTGAAGTGCCCTGTCCCATACACCCTATATCTATCTATGTATCTAATAGCCAAGTTGCCCCCTCCGGGCGGATATCTAAATCCACAGCCAGTGTTCCCTCTAAGCTGAGTTAGTGTGAGCCAGCTCACAGTTCTTTAGCCTCTGACTCACACATTTTTCTCTTACCTCAGGAAGGATGGCTCCAGAACTAATTTATGCAGTAGCCAGAACGCTCGCTCACAACTTTAATGCCAGTAACTCACAAAGTAGAATTTTTGCTCACTAGACTCCACAGCTTAGAGGGAACATTGAACACATCGGGGGCATTTGGGGGGCAGAGAGATTTTCATGCACACTTGGAGCAGTCCCCAGGTGTGCAGAAAAATCTAAAAAGTTGAAAAAAAATCTACGGGGGTATGGCACGAACCTCCTTTAAACTCCCAGTTCTGTGAGGGTCTGCGTGTCCGGACCTAGTCAGAGTGGACTTTATTTTTCCACCTGACCAGTCCTCTACATAAATCTGCAAAAGTCTCTTCGGGGTATTTGTTTTACTTATTAAAGAGTTAGGCACCACGGCTTGTTAACTTCAAAACAGAACAGGCTTTATTGATAGAAAACACAACAGGGGGATGGAAGCTTTGCAGAGCATAATTTCTTTTCAGACTTGAACTTTTGAATTTGGTTTTCACTTAGGCAGTAGGCTTATAACTTTCCAGTTTCACACAGGTGTGTTCACTAAACACCCTAATAAGTACACTCTCTTGTACTGCTTCGTGGTTAACCTTTGGCTTTGGCTTTCTGGCTCCTTTTTAGCCCAACTGGCCACCAACCAGCTGTCCTGACTCAGCCAGACCGTTCCTCAGCCCTCTCTTAACCACCTCTCCCAGTTCCTTTAGGAATAATGTATTTGATGTTTGTGACCGCTTATGTGTTTAACATTCACCAGTCTATTCACTGAGCTCTCTCCTTTAGAGGAACTCATTAAACCCCAGTTATCTGTTCCAACTGTCTGTTCCAACTGTTATTAGGCTGTTCACTCAGAGCTATAAAGGTCTGCTTCCTCCACAGAGCTCCTCAGTTAGTTGACCACTCTCTGCTAACTCCACTGATCAACTCTCCCCTAACGGCTTCTTTCCAGCTGCCAATTCCAACCTGACTGTTTGGTCCATTAAATGCCAATCACTGAGGGTTCCAAGCTCAATGCCCCCGTCCTCACTCAGTCATGTGACTCAGCAGTGTTCTGTGTTTACTTTCTGCTGGTCCCAGATTTTCAAATCCGTCACAGGGGGATACTTAAATCCCCCCCAAAGTAAAACAGCGTTCCCTGTGCATGTGTTCCCTGCTGGGAGCTGCTCAGGCCAGATTTTCAATTCCGTCACAGGGGGATACTTAAATCCCCCCCAAAGTAAAACAGCGTTCCCTGTGCATGTGTTCCCTGCTGGGAGCTGCTCAGGCCAGATTTTCAATTCCGTCACAGGGGGATACTTAAATCCCCCCCAAAGTAAATCAGCGTTCCCTGTGCATGTGTTCCCTGCTGGGAGCTGCTCAGG